CCACATAACAATGTTTCAGTCAACAACAGACTGCATATGCAACGGTGATCTCGTAAGATTATAATACCATATTTTTACTGATCCTTTTATATGTTTAGATATACAAATGCTTACCAGTGTCTAGAATTGCCTTCAGCATTCAGTATAGTAACATGCTGTAGAGGTCTGTAGCCTTGGAGCAGTAGGCCGTACCATATAGCCTAGGTGTGCAGTAAGCTATTCCATCTAAGTTTGTGTAAGTACACTCAATGACGTTCACACAACGACAAAATCACCTAATGACTCATTTCTCAGCCTATTACCATCATCAAGCAATGTGAGACTGTAAATTATTTTAATGACTTTATTGAGATAGAATACACATACCATAAAGTTTGCCATTTTAAAGCATACAATTCAGTGTTTTTTAGTATATTCACGTCATTGCTTAACCACCATCATTATCTAATTTTAAAACATCATCCCCCAAAAGAAACCCCATGCCCATTGGCAATCACTCCTGATTCTCTCTCTTGCCTCAGCCCTGGCAACCACTAATCTACTTTCTGTTTCTGTGGGTTTTCCTTTTCTGGACATTTAATGTAGACTAAATCATACAATGTGTGGTCTTTTGTAACTTGATTCTTTCACCCAACGTAATTTTTCAAAGTTCATCCATATTGTTCATGTGCGAGGACTTCATTTTCCTAATGCCGAATGAGAGAGAGCATGTTTTCATGTGGCCATTTTATTGGTCATTTGTATATCTTATTTGAAGAAACGTAAATTTAAATCCTTGGCTTGATTTTTAAAAATTTTATTGTCTTTTTATTTTTGAGTGGTAAGAATTCTTTATATATTATGGATACAAGTTTCATATCAGACATATGATTTGCAAATATTTTCTCTTCTTCTGCGGGTTATCTTTTCACTTTATTGATGGTGTCTTTTGATGCACAAAGTTTTGTACTTTGATGAAGTCTAGTTCATCTTTTTATTGTTGTTGGTGGTAGTGTTTTTGGTATGTTCTCTGGGAAACCATTGCCCAATCTAGAGTTATGAAGATTTACTTCCATGTTTTCTTATGAGAGTTTTATAACTTTGGCACTTAAATTTTGGTTTCTGATACATTTTGAGTTAAATTTGTGCATATGGTATAAGTTAGGGGTTGGACTTCATATAAAAGCATGTAGATAATCCAGTTGCCTCAACATTGTTTGCTGGAAAAAACAATCCTTTCACCAGCAAATTGTCTTGGTAGCCTTGCTGAAAATCAATTGATCATAGATGTAAGGGTTTATTTCAGACTCTCAATTCTATTCTTTTTATCTATATGTCTATTCTTATGCCAGCACCACACTGTCTTGATTATGGTAGCTTTGTGCTAAGCTTTAAAAAGAAAATAGTGGTAAAATGCACGTAACATAAAATTTACCTTCTTAACCATTTTAGTAGTGTTAAGTATATTCACATTGTTGTGCAACCAATCTCTAGAACTTGCAAAAAATCTTGCAAAACTAAAACTCTGTTTAAACAACAACTCTTCATTTTCCCCTCCCATTTCTAGGTTGCCTGTTCACTCTGCTGATTGTGTCTTTATAGTCCTTTCTATTTCTGTTAGGCTGGTAGTGATGTCCCTTTTTTCATTCCTAATTTAGTAATTTGTATCTTCTCTCTTTTATTCTTACTTAGTCTAGGTAAAGGTAGTCAATTTTGTCAGTCTTTTCAAATAAAAAACTTTGGTTGTTGATTTTGTCTATTGTTTTGCTATTCTCTCTACTATTTATTTGTGCTCCAGTTTTTATCATTTCTTTTCTTCTTCTTGCTCTGGGTTTAATTTGTTCTTCTTCGTTTAATTTGCAAAGTTGAGGTTACTGATTTGAGGTTTTCTTTCTTTTAATGTAGAACTTGATAGCTATAACTTTCTCTAAGCGTTTTTGAAGTCGATAAACATTTATACACCAAAAGTTAGACATTAAAAATGAACTCCAAGGGGCCGGGCATGGTGGCTCATGCCTGTAATCCCAGCACTTTGGGAGGCCAAGGTGGGCGGATCACAAGTTCAGGAGATCGAGACCATCCTGGTTAACACGGTGAAACCCCCTCTCTACTAAAAATACAGAAAAATCAGCCAGGCATGGTGGCGGGCACCTGTAGTCCCAGCTACTTGGGAGGCGGAGGCAGGAGAATGGCATGAACCCAAGAGGCAGAGCTTGCAGTGAGCTGAGATCACACCACTGTACTCCAGCCTGGGTGACAGAGTGAGACTCCATCTCAAAAAAAAAAAAGAACTCCAAGGGATGACCTATATTCTCTAATTATACTGAAGCAAGACACAACAGCAAGGAGACACAAAACTGAAGTTGAGGTCACGGCTTGTGACTGTAGCTCTAC